AGTGAATAGAAAATATAGTTATAAGTAATATTTAATATTAAACATTTTAGAATAATATTGAACAATTTTGTAAAAAAGAAAATTATAAAAGTTAATTGAGGAGAACTTTAGACCTAAACATAAAAAAGGCTTATTAGACTTTGGAATAGACCTTGAATAATATGGGAAAAAGAGTAATCAAAGATTTATATATAACCTTAAATATAGTCCTTAATAGAGTTTAATGGAGGAAACATACCTATGTAACCAATTTTGGCTATTTTAGATTAAAAATTAATTGATTTGAGTTTGGGAATGACAATTGTTTAAGTAATACCCAAAACGACACTATGATTTGAGATTTATATAGAATAACATTTTGTTTCAAGTTTAAACTCGAAATGAGATGGAAAGAATTATCTTCTACTATATAGTTTAATTCAATTTTGACATATAGAAAAAAAAAATTGAAATTACATCATTTGTACCCAATTCATTTAAAATTTAATTAAAAATTATTTTGTGCGCGAATGTAACCTTCTACAGTCCAATTAGCCCTCTCTATTTTGATAAAAACTTAAATTCATTTAATTTCATATGTTTATACTTCATCATCCAATATTAGTTGCTTAAGAACAATTATTTGATCATGGTTGTAGCCGCGTTTGAAGTAGTGTTTAGTATTTTGATAGGGTTGAAATACTATTTTTATTAATCATAACATTCGGTAATACAATATATATTTTAGGGTTTAAAGTTCAAGACAGTGTTTCATGAAACATTTTTTTTATTAATGTTTAGCGTTTTATAGTTTTTTTATGACATTTATACCCATCACTCATTTTTACTTTGTTCGTCCCTTTCATACCTTTTTTTATCGTTTTATATTAAATAGTTAATCAAATAGTTATTTGTAACAAACACTTTTATTTTAAACCGTTATATAATCAGTTAACCACTAATAGTGAATATATAACAACTAACTACTAGTAAAATAACTGATAACTATTAAAATAGCTAACAACTAATAGAACAGTTAAAATTGCCGAACAGACCCGCACAATGATTAAACAAATCATGAAATAACCTAATTTGTAATAAAATATTATTTAATTTCACTAAATTATCTCTATTGCAGCTAATTACTCCAATTTCAATATTTCTCTCCCCATTAATCTGCATTAAAACGAAGTTTTGGTTTTCTTACTATAGAGAAGGAGAAGTGATAAGATGAGTTTAGAAAATTATAGAGAATAATTCTTCTATTTAATAGGAATAAGGATAATAATAATAATAATAATAATAATAATAATATAATAATTCAATGCTTTGCTTTCAGAAGGGAAAGTATTACAATCAATTCTTTTGACTGCTTTTATCATCACATCATAGCTGCCATTGCCAACGGCAAATAATGCTCAAAAAAAAAAAAAAAAAAACAACTACTAGTAAATAATCAGCATAATATTAAAATAGCCTAACAACTAATCCTACGAACAGTTAAATTTTGCCGAACAGAACCCGCCAATGATAAACAATCATGACAATAACCTTAATTATTGTAATAAATTATTATTTTATTTCACCTAAATCTCAAGCTCTCTATTGCAGTGAATTACTCCAAATTTCAATACTTTCTTCCCATTAATCTGCATTAAAACACAAGTTTTGGCTGTTTCTTACTATAGGACAGGAAATGATAAGAGGAGTTTTACGAACATTTATCGAGATATTCTTCCTACTTTATCACGGAATCACAGTAGCAGATACTACTAATATAATCATAAATTAATAATTTCAATTCGGGCTTTGCTTTCAGAAGGACCAAGATTACATCAAGTCTTTTGACTGCTTTTCTCTATATTACGTTCGCTTGCGAACGGCCAATAATGCTCAAAAATAAAAAACAAAGAGTATAAAAAAAAAAAAAAAAAAAAGAGTATATTTATTTTGGAAGTTCTCTATTTTTGTTAAATACATATTTTAAAACTTTACATCTTTTTATTTTATTTCACATTATTTCACTGAGATAGACGAAATTATGTAAATGAAATTGAAAGTATATTGAAATACCTCCAATGGAACAATTTTAACTATTTCATATTATTTAGAATTGTTCTTTAAAACTAACAAAATTAAATATTTTGAACAATTATTCTGAGATTATAAATCCAATTCTAATACAAGATTTTTATTAACAGAAATTAAAATATTTTCTTGCAATTTAATTTATTTTAATTGAAATGGATTCAATCTTGAAGTTTTGACAAACCACAATTTTGAAAAATTGAATAGTGTAATGAATTGGGTCAAAAGTCCACATTCATTTGATTTGCTCAAAGCCCATTTAAGAATGGGCTGCATTCTATTACTCTATCGTTTTGTTTGATTTGAAGTTGAGGTGTAAACACTTAATTGAGCTTATTTTCAGTCCTTGTACTTCAATTATACCTCCTATTATATTGGGATATCAAATTTTCTATTTGTTATATAAAAATATAAAAATTTTAATTTACACTAAAAGACATCCGTCGCAATATCTATTTGACGTTGGATGGAAAGTTGACAGGGAGCATTGAAAATATAAAAAGTTGCTATGTTAGCCTGTCAAGTTAGACTTTCACTGACTCTCTCCTTCTCTACTCTGTTATGATTTCTCGCTCCTGTCCCATAACCTTATCTTTCTTGCCCAAGCGTCTCTTTGTTCTAACTCGCTATGTGTCCTTGACATTCAGTGATCCTAATTCAAGATATTCTTATTTTATCCACCGTTGCGGTGGCCGTGGTGGTTCCATCATCGGAATCGAATGAGAATCAGGGAGTAACAGTTGAAGGAGTGAAAATCTCTGCTTGGTCTCATACCTAGATAAGTAGGAAAAATCTACTTTATGAAAAATTTAAATAAAAATTAGGTGTAAATTTTACAACTCAGTAAATAATAATATATAGCACATTACTCATACATTCATACGAGATAAATCCTAAAGCAACTAAGTGAACACTATTATACATGTAGCACAATAATAGCAACCACATACAATAGCATCTTCACATAATTAAATTAGTGGAAATTGATCTGATATGTGGTGTCACCGACACCCGCGGTAAGTCGTCTTCGCACATGATCCGTCCTCTCATAATGTGTGTACCAGAGAGCTAATGACCCATACATGCCAACGATCTCAACCTCACTTAATCAACCCACCCATTGTATTTTTTTCGTATTCTATTATTCTTCCGTTACTAACAAGAGACTATCGAATTTCCTTATTGTTATACTTTCAGAAATTAGGTATTGAGAGAATTGTGTATTAACCTCTATTTTGGGTGAAATCGGGATATTTACATTGGAGTAAGAATAATTATATTAGGGTAAGGATTGTAGTAATCCTACATGATTTGTTAGTTGGAGTTTATTTAAGAATCTAATATTCTGTTAATTTATCTTGTTAATTTATTAAAACATTATTTTTATATATTTTGTATTATTGTATATTATCACATATAATTCATGTCCTATATCATCGAATGCATTCGGGAACACCAATTTTTCCATATATGGCTAGCGACATCGAAGGCTGTCTTATAGACCCATTGGTGACTCATGTCATCCTATTTCTATACAAACATGAAAATCATTATCACATCACAGCTAATTAAGTAGAACAATCAAATGCAAACTCATTGAGCAAGTTAGTTTTTACATGCAAGCACATATATTAGTTTTTACATGCAAGCACATATAATATATAGTATTATAATATATTATAATAATATAATATATATATATATATATAAATAAATTTAATAATATAAGGTCCATCACTTGGAAAATAAATTAATATAATAAGTGATATGATATATATAATAAATTTTAATGATATAAGTGTCATCACTTGGAAAATAAATTAATATATATTGATATGATAAATATTTCCACGCAATGAGGATGGTATGCACTATTTATAGGGGTATCAAAATGGATTATAACAGGCGAATATGATTCGCCTAACACATAAATTACATGAGTTAAGATTAAGGTTAAACGAGTTCTTGTCATAAACGGGTCACCCATTAATAATAAAAATAAACTTTAGGGATATTATAAATATTTTTGTACAAAAGATATGACTAAGATAATTGTGGCAAACTAACGAAATAATTATTTTTCCAAATAAATAATTATCATGGCTATCAAAACCAAGAACTTTTTTTTTTCAAAGCGCATAAATAAGCCCCTCAACTTATAGGGTTTTGTCAATTGTATCCCTAATCTTTCGTTTGTCGACTTTGAACCTTTCAATTTCAATTTTTAAAAAAGTTATTCCTTTTTAGTTGAGATTTAACTGCAATAACCGAAAATAGATACAATTATAAATTGATCTATGGAATTCTATTAATTTGGAAAAAAGCACAAGTCTCAATTTTGACATGTATAATAATAAAAAGATAAAAAATAAATAAGTACAAATTTTGCAAGAACATGTTAAAATTTTAATTAATAAACTTTAAACTCAAGCATTCTCAATTTTTAAAAAGAAATAATGATACAGTCAGTAATTTGAATGTTTGGTAATAATAAATAGCTCTCTAAGTGGCTAACAAAGAAAAAATAGTAATGTAAATCAGGTATTGGTCTGATTAGTCTTCTCACTTATATAAGAAGTGAAAAATCTTGACTTCGAGTATTATCGACCGTAATTATTTTTACCAACTTTATGAGTCAAGGAAGGTTTACCCTCTATTATTATTTATTTTGGCCCATAAAAGTCTTCAATATATTAAAAAAATAAAATAATTTTCTCAAAAAGATTAGTCTTTAACTGCTATATATTCTTCTTTAAAATAAAAAAATTCGATTATAAAAGTTCAATATTACTTCCAAGCTTTAAGAAGGTAATTGAAATAACACAATACAAGCTAGAAAGTGAAATACGCAATAAATGAAAAACGGTAAAATTGACTGTTGTCCATCTCTCTCATATTAATACTTAACGCGTTGTCCTTTTCCTTTTGCAGTCGGCAATTTTAGTTTATTCAAACGAAGTGTTACATTTTTCGTTTCTGCTCTTATATTTTTCCCCTCTCATTCCTCAGAGGCGAAGACCATAACTGCCGTTAACTACTCTGTCCACTGTCCCGAAACTTTCTTTCCTAGCAAGTCCATCTCTACGAAATTTCCACTCCAGATCATTTAATCGTTATTTTGCTTTCTCTGTCTCTCTCACAGGCACACTCTTATTCTCCCTAATCATCTATTCTAAAAATGAAGAGCTTCTAGAGCACTCAGCTGCCATTTTTTCTGTTGGTTTTGCTCTTTACTTTCTGTTTGCTTTCTGAGAAAATATCGCAATAGCATAAAGAGAGAGAGAGACACCAAAGAGAAGACGGGAACGACGACGATAACTAGTTAAAAATCCCGTTTTTATTGTGGTGACTGCCGAGAGGTGAGACTTTTTTTTTAATTGTTATGGAATGTTTCTTATATTTTTGTTAGCAAATTCACGACTCTTCTTACCTACCAAACAAATAATTTCATTTTTCCTTTTAACGATGTAATACTTTTTTCTATTTTCAGGTCTGAAATTCGGATTGGACCAAGCCAAGTCAGGAATATGATAAGGGGAAATAAATTTGTTAGGTTAGTTTCTTACTTATTTAACATTTTTTATTATGTTTGCGGTGAATTATACTGTTTCAATGAATGTGCAGTTCGACACAGATCAACGCTAATCATTTCATGTTTTAATCTAATCAATGAACTTAGTTGAAAGGGGATGAGCATTCTGTTGTTTACTCGGTTTAGTCAACTTGGTTTTGTTTGAAAAAAAGTGTATATATATATATATATGTATATAAAGACAGATAACTAATTAATCAAACGAAACGATATCAATAATAAAATCTTTAATCTTTTTTGTCTTTGTCATTAGAGGTTAGGCTCCATTCTCTCTATCCACCTTTCTCCTTCCTTATCACTTCTTTCCCCATAAATCGGTCGCTTCTTTGCCTCTAATTTCGGTCGGCATTTATGAACTTCTTGAGTTATGTTGTCCAGCTTCCCTTCTGGACATGGTTGTTTTATTTGTTTTTTTAATTACTAGAGATATTGTCTGCCTCATCCTATTAGTCGACATAAGCCACATTGATTTTAACTTTAATAAGTCGAACAATGGGTATACCAAGCCATAATACTAGAGATATTTTCTACCCACTGCCTGGCTCATTAAAGGACACTCATATTCCCAATGAGGCCAAGCATATGTCTTCCTATTGTACTTCTCGTGTAGATTTGTTCTGTGTTTCTTCAGACGAGGATATGAAATCTTATCTAAAGATAGCAGTTGCTCTGGCTAATGAAATGGAAGTGATACTCTAATGTGGTGTTTTAATATGAGATGATATTAGCATTTGTTTTGTAGGAAAATTAAATAGAGAATTTTTAATTTTAAGAAGGGTAATTTAGGCATTTTATAATTTATTTTTAGAAAATTATTTTTTTCTTAATTTTGTGAAAATATAAAATGTTGATATTAAAGTGGATCAAAGACCTTATTACTCACAATTAAAATAGTAAATGTTTTCAATTTTACCCCCTTAGCTCTTGAAATTTTTTTTTTTTAACTTTCCCTAACTTTAATTCCTAGTTCCGTCTTCATGTGGAAGTTTTTATTGCCGGAAAATAACCAGAATTCCACAACAAAAGCATCTTGGTTCAATTTTAGCCTAATTAGTGATATCGATTCCAAGTTCATGATGTTGAATTGTTTTAAAAAATGTTTTTAGGATGTATTTGGTAAACCATTATTAAGTAATTTATTTAAATGCATTCTAATAATATTTGATTTAATTATGATGTAGCAAACATTGTTAGTGTATTAATTAAGTTTTCCCTTTTCTTTTTAGTTCAGATTGGAAGACTGGATTTCAGAGAAATCTAACAGTTCAGAAAGACAACATTCCAGAGATGTTGGTTTTTATACAGGAAAGCACAAGCAAACCGTAATCGCAATTTCGGATAGTATCCACAGTTGGGAAATGGGTTCTGACAGGTTTGAAGGGTTGAGAATACCAGCAAAAGAATCAGCCACTAAAAGGAAGATTCTTGATCCACAGAGCTCATTTCTCCAGAAATGGAACATGATATTTTTGCTTGTTTGTCTTCTTGCACTATCCTTAGATCCTTTTTTCTTTTACATTCCAGTGATTGATGGGTTTCAAAAATGCCTTCATTTGGATAGGAAATTGGGAACTATAACTTGTGTTCTTCGCACCTTACTTGATTTGTCTTATGCACTTCGCATGATATTTCAGTTTCGTACTGGGTTTATTGCCTCTTCTTCTCACTCATTTGGAAAAGGCAAAGTGGTTGAAGATCCTGTAATTATAGCTAGAAGATACTTGACCTCCAACTTGATCATTGATGTCATATCAATTCTTCCACTTCCTCAGGTATAGTCAGTTTCATTATAGCTACTTAATTGACAGATGCAAACATGCATGTCAATGTCCACGTCATAAACAAGTAAATAACAAATAATGACAACATGCAACCCACGTCGTAACAAAAACTAGTAGTAGTAATAATAATAATAATAATAATAATAATAATAATAATAACTATATATGTGCTATATTGTTTGCAAATTTGAGGAAAAATTTTGTTTATTATTGGTCAGGTAGTAGTTCTAATCGTCATTCCCAGCTTGAATGGTCCTGTTTCAGTGGCTGCTACAGATTTGTTGAAGTTTGTTATTCTTTGCCAGTATGTGCCAAGATTCATGAGAATCTACCCTCTGTTCAAAGAATTACGTAGAAGCTCTTGCCCGTTGATGGAAAGAAGATGGGTTGGAATTGGTTATAATATCTTTCTGGGTGTTCTATTTAGTCATGTGAGTTTGACTTTTTAATTACACTTTACATTTTCTTAAACTGTTTATTAAAGTGGATTTTGTGATTAATAGAAGAAAAATGTGGCATTCCACTAGGTAATTGGAGCCTGTTGGTACTTTTTCTCAGTAGAACGTGAAGAGACCTGCTGGCGTAGAGCGTGCGAAGCCGCTTCGTGTCATAGTAAAGATCTTTACTGTGGAAACCACCGTGCAAATAACGCCTTAAGCACATTTCTGGAAGATTCATGCCCTTCTATCCAGCTTGGTTCAAATATCTTCAACTTTGGAATGTTCACTGATGCTGTTGATTCTGGTGTGGTGGGATCATGGAATTTTTCTAAGAAATTCATCTACTGCTTTTGGTGGGGTCTGCATAATCTTAGGTCTGTAGATATATAAATTTTAATCCATCAAAATTTTTTAATTTTCCCTCAGCAGAGCAGAGCAGGACTCATTCACGAGATTTCCAAATAATTTTCTTATTGTCATTTTACAGCTCTTTCGGCCAAAACCTCCAGACAAGCACTTATATTGGAGAAATTCTTTTTGCTCTTGTCGTATCCGTTACAGGAATGGCTTTAATTTCAATGCTTATTAACACTATGATTCAGGTAATTCTTTGATCCTTTTTATTCTCTCTTAATTTACTTTCATTTATATCTCCCATTTCTTTTATTAGTATTTTCTCATTTTCAATGTTTTACCGGAGTTTTTCTCAATCACTTGAGCTGTGTGCGGCAACTCGGCGACCACTAACGTTTTGACCAAAAAGCTATTTTTTATATTGTTCGTTAATATAGCATTTAAATTATTTTTTAGAGTGGGAGAGATGTTTAGTCTTGTGATATTAGATATTTGTAGAAATAAAAGCGAGACATGTATTTTAAAATATTCACGCACTCCGATACATTTAATAAAGGTATATATGAATTGTTTGCTTTTATATATATATGGGATGTCTTGTGATATATTGATAATGTTAATCGTTTGCTTATCGTACAGGTGTATCTGCAAAGCCTTACAGTTAGACTAGAGGAAATGAGAGTTAAAATGAGAGATGTAAATCAATGGATGTCCCATCGTATGCTTCCAGAGGACCTAAGGGAGAGGATTAGGACGTATGAGCAATACAAATGGCGGACAACAAGAGGTGTGGATGAAAAAAATATCATCGATGCACTTCCCAAATACATCAGGAGGGACATATATCGCCATCTCTACTTTGATCTAATCATGAGAGTGAGTTCTCTCCTTAACCTTGTGAATATACGCACTACTCCCTCTCTGCTTCGTTATTCTTGAATTTCATAATTAGGTGCCAAAGTTTGCAAAAATGGATGAGCAAATGTTGGATGCAATATGTGATCATCTTAGGCCAGTGCTTTATACAAAGGATAGTTTGATTTTTCGCGAGGGGGATGCAGTTGATGAGATGCTATTTATCTTGAACGGTGATCTAGTGAGTGTCACCACAAATGGTGCTGTTTATTTAAAGGCTGGTGATTTTTATGGAGAGGGGCTTCTTACATGGGCATTGGATCCTCGATCAAAATCCAAGCTCCATGTTTCGAGTAGAACTGTGCTGGCTTTGTCAGAGGTTGAAGCCTTTGCTTTATTAGCTCAAGACTTGAAATTTGTTGCCTCCCAATTCCAACACACATTCAGGTCAGTTCCTGATATATTTTGTTTTTAATGTCATTTTAAGAATTCTGAATTTGTAACTCTCTTTTAAAAAAAATTTCAATTTGAAGTGTTGTGTATGATGAATATTTAGAGTTCATTTTATCTCAATTTAGGGGTCAGCATCTTTTATTGTATATAACTTTTTAATTTGTGACGTGAAAGATTACTAAATTTTAATTTTTATACACTAAAGTTCTGTTGATAATTCTCAAAGCTAGAATGGCCCAAATGTGACAAGTATTTTTCGTTGTCACAATCTGAACTTTCGTTGTCAGGTATTTTTCTGTGCAATGGAGAACATGGGCAGCAGGCTGCATACAGGCAGCTTGGCGACGTCACTGTAGGAGGAAGCAAGCTAAACCTCTATGTTAAGTAGAAGAAAATATGCAATGTGAAGTGAGGGTGCAACCTTGCCAAGCTTTTGACATGCTATATTGCAAAATTTTATGAAATTCTACTTCTATTCTATAATATTTGTCACATTTAGAATTTTACATTCCTTAAAAAAACATTAAATTTGTTTAAATTACAATAAATTATTAAGTGAATTCACTATATCACCCTTAATTTTAATACTAATTCTCTAAGAAAATCATTAAATTGAAGTAATAATTATTGATCATATACAAATGGTAAAAACGGAAAAAAAAATTTTTATTACTCTTTGAAACCACAGTTGTGACAACTATTACATAGTAAGTGAATACTCATTTGTATATACAAAATAATGGACCATTTATTGCAAAATTTTATGAAATAAGTGATGACCTATTGTATACTCGAATTTATAAATTTTAGATATATAAATTGCAAATACATAGAATCACCACTGAGTTTTACTGTTTTAATTTTGTAACATCTTAAACTTCATGGATGACCTATTGTCTACTTGAATTTATAAATTCTAGTAACTTTGTACGTCTTTGCACATTAACAACAATAATTTGTGAGGCTTTTGATTTTTATTGTAAAATATTTATTTGCTCTGTAATTACTATAACTTTTAAAACAATAATTTTCACATTTTTTAGACTGTTTAATAAATATTTAATTGATTTAATTTTGCAAGTTAATATGCTTAATGAAATAATTTTGAAGGTTGAAATGTTTAACATTTGTAATTTTTATTTGATGAATCAAAATAGCAAAAATTATTATCATACCATTATATTTCGTCTAAAAAAACTATTTTATCCTTGTATTTTAAAAAATGTACAATTATACAATCATAAAGAGAGAATTTTTTTCGCCAAATTGCCTCTTTTTCTTCCTCTCTTTCTCCTCCAGAACACGCTAAAGTCAAAACTAATTTTTTTTTTTTTTTGAATTGAAAAAATATGCTCTAATCTTTTCACTTATGAAATTGAATTATGCTCTTTTGATGGTGCTTTTTTTTTTTTTTTTTTTTTTTTTTTTTTTTTTTTTTTTTTTTTTTACTTTTGTTGGTTTTTTTTTTCGAAGAAGAGCAACGAATTCACTGGCAGACAACTTGGTTTGTGAATTAATTATGGGCGTGCCAGGTATATGAAGTACACCAACTGGAATTAATATCGCACTTGATCTGACTTCTAGGTCGTAGGTTGGATCCACGGTAAACACTTCACCGATTGTGCAATTTAAAATAAATTTGAACTAAGGAAATTGTAAAGAGAGTTTGATTGCTTTAAATATAAATTGCTTGCTCATATTGAAAAGAGCTTGTAATTACAAGAAATGTAAATAGACAATGCTTAAGAAAAATAAAGACAATGCTTTGAAATTAAATTGCTTGACTTGTTGGAGAGTTTGGTTGAATTCGTCGAAGAATTTTGATTGTTTTTGTTGGTCTTTCTACCATGTTTACTTGCTCCATTTATAAGTTCCACAAGCAGTTATGATGGCGTGGTGGAGGAAGGCTATGGTATTGATGGAGAAACACGCGTGCTACAGTACCCGTGCTACAGTGCACGCCTTGGTCGTGCTAGAGTCTGACTCTTGTAGTGGAGAAAAGCACGCTCGTGGTACAGTGCCCGTGCTACAGTGCACACCCTAGCCGTGCTAGGGTCTGACTTGATTGAAAACGTGATGAAAGGCTAAGGTGACTGATGATGAAGATTAAGATGACAAAGATAGATGATTGTTTTTGGAAATAAACAAAACCCAATAGTTTTTGAAAACTAATAAAATCCAAATGTAATTAACACTTTCTTGTTATTCAAAAATCTGCCTTCAAAGTACACAAAAATCCCTTTAAATAAGGAAAACAAGGGATATAATTTCAAAGGACACCTAACTAAGGTTGAAAACAACATAAACAATTTCAAAGACACAAATTCAAAGGACACATAACTAAGGTTGAAAATAGCACAAATGGGCTAAAATGCAAAGTCAATGATCAACCAAATGATCTTTGATTGTTGTCTTCAAAGATGATGGTGATTGTTGTCTTCAAAGATGATGGTGTGAAGAAACCCAAATGGCCCCAAAAGGAGTTGTAGCTTCAGATTGAACATGTCATCTCCACTAAGCCCATCTTCACTTGGAGTGTCTTCATCAATTTCACTAATGGAATCAAGACCAAGGCCCATGTTTAGGACAGCTTGTAAGGTTAGGCTAGATGGACCTCCATCAAGTTACCAAAAGGATCAACTGACACACGTTTCCGTCGTTGGCTTCCTTGATCGCCACCTTTTGTACTTTAACAACCCCTTGAGGAGTGCTTTCATTTTTTCCAACTGCAGCTCACGTTTTTTATTATCCTTTTCTTTTTAATTAATTAATTAATAAAATAATATCAATTGGGTCCTAATTAATTAAACATTCAAGCCCAATCCAAAATACAAAGGGTAAATCTAAAAAATCACAAAATGAGTTGAACAACTTTTTAATGGATGTTTCTTTCATTTTCAGATCCATAAGGATTTAAAAGTTGAGTGAGCTAGTGATGTTGGCAACTAGAAGCATGTCCAGCTTCAAAGTAGTAATGACGTTATATATATATATATATATATATATATTCCTTCATTAGTTGTATTTGAGAAATAATGATTAAGTGTTGCTTTACCTTCAACATAATTTGTTTTTCACCTCCAATCCATTTTTTAATTCTAACATTGGGAATTGGGGATTGGTAACGTACTTCCTCCCGTGGATAATTTCTATTTTTTTTATTTTCTTTTTCTCTTTATACAATCCTTGTGTTGAGTCGCTTTTTAATATAATATATTAGAATTTCATTAAAAATTTTAAATTAATACAAATAATTCATGGAGGACATGTCCCCTCTCTCGAAGACCAGATAGAGAGCAAAATTATTATAACTAAAATGATTATTGTCCGTTGATCTAATACGAAATTCTAATGAAAATTGAAAAGTAAACTTGAAAAAAAAAAAGATCTTCAAAGTGACTGGCTAGACAAACTCTCAGAATCGTCTGTACATAGCCTGATTATCCATGAACTAGTTGCTTATGACGAACACAAAAGATTTAAACCACTAAATCCAATAGAAAGACATTTCGCATTGTCAAGCTTTAAAAGACAAAGATTGTAATGTATTTAAAAAATTCTCAATAAATTATACATCTGTCCAAATAAAATAATAAAAAAAAATGCAAAAACAAAAAAAATACTCCACACAAGATGGAGATAAATTACAAAAAATAATAGAAACATAAATAACATAGATCTATACCAAATAGACATAGATCTGTAATTTAATTAATAAAAAAACATAAAAATTTGCAATAAAATCAGAAATAAGAGGAAGGGGCTATCACAAAAGACAAGAATCGGTCCCTTCCCATATCTACATACTTAATTTTTGTGTTTCAATGGGGAAAAAAGGAAAGAAAATTTTAATGAAGAAAGAAAGAAAGAGAGAGAGCAGTGCACATTATTTTTTAATATTAATTGAAGAAAGTAATTTGTTGATTCCTTATATTGAGTAGTTCTCATTTATGAAATTTATTTATAAATTATTGCCACATTTTGCTACCATTTTTGTGCTTATTTATAGATTATTTAAAACAATTCTTCTTAAACTAAAATTTCAATGACATTAAACTAAAAATATCCATCGAAAAGAAATATAAAGAGTGTAATATGGAATGTTTGAAAAATAAATATAGGTAAAATGGGAAATCAATTTGAGAAATTGAGAGTCTTGAAGGTTTTAAACTCTCAACAATTTAATAATTTAACTTCACTTTATCTTACTTCATCCTCAAAAACTTTTAAATACTCTCCATCCATACAAAACAACTACTACTCCTCTAATCTCTATATGAGAGTTTTTGTGCTACATATAAGGTTTGTGCTACATATATCTTTAGTGTCTGAATTTTTTATTTTTTATTTATTGCAGATAGCAATTAAGTGCTTAAATTTTTAAAATTTTATAATTGAGTGTTTCTGACTACTGAGCTAGCCAACCGGAAACATAATTGTACAATCGTGAGACCTGATAACACGCCGCAGCTGATATAAAAAAAAAAAAAAAAAAAAAAAAAAAAACAGCTGATATAAAAAAAAAAAAAAAAAAATAAAAACTCAAAATTGCCAAATAAGAAAAAAAAAAAAAAAAAAAAAAAAAACTCTAAAATTGCCAAATAAGCCAAATGTAATGTGAATACGATAGGAAATGTCATTTTTAACCTTCATTTGTTATTGCCCGCTAACCCAATCTTATCAAGTGACTAAGGCCTCAATCATCCATCCATCATCCCTTTTAAACCCTATACACAGTCTCTCTCTTTCATTTACTCCTCCTTCTCTCACAGATGGCCATTGATGCCTCTCCGATATATCGGACTCCCGATCTTTACCACTTTGAGATTATTAATCTTCAATTAAGTTAATTCTAATGATAGTTTAATTAAATACTAACCATGTAGTAATTTTGTAATGTGCCTCTAGTTTAGAAAAATCTAACAACAGTAAAAGCAAGATCCTCAGCAGTCCTGTGTGGATCTGTTAGCTTCCAGCAATAAGTAAGTATCATTTACTCCTCCTTCTATTGCTTTCAGTTCATCGTGGTTTATTTTTTCGTTTATGGATTCTACAAGAGAGCGGAGATGCGGTTGTTGGACTAAATGAAAGTTAAAAATGATATTTCCCAGCATGTTCAGTCATATTCAGCTTATTCGGCAATTTTTTGAGTTTTTTTTTTTTTTTTTCTCCATGTCAGCTCACACCTGTTAAAAAATTAGGTTCCACAGTTAAATAATCACTTTTCTGGTTAATCAGCTCAGAGACACCTAATTGTAAATTTTTAAAAGTTTAAGTGTCCAATTATTAGCGATTTCCTTTCAGACATTAAAATAGAAAAAAAAAAAAAACAAAAAAGTTCGTACACTAAAAACTATAATTATTCCATATCATTATTTGCTCATGTTATATTATTTATTTAATGAACTATTAAGTTAAAAAAAACGATGGAATTTAGTAATGTTGTAAAAATATTTAATTAAAAAATATCTTTTATTGCCATACAATTAAACCATATATTATGGAG